CCACAGCTATTCTGATATATTACAGAAGACTTCAAACGAAATGAGTAAGAAGAGATAAAAAGGTCACTGCCTATCAATAAAGGGAACACCTCATCAAGAAGACAAAGCAACTGTAAATATGTATATCAGATGTTCTGGCTCTAAATTCCATACAACAAACACTAAAAGGCATAAAAGGTCAGAGAGATCTTGATACAATAATAGGTCACTTCAATACCCAACTCTCATCTACCACATGACCTACTATAGCATTCCTGGGTATATATCCAAAAGACTCTGAGACATTATACTACAGAGATACCTGCAGATCTGTTTATTGCATAATGAAAAGGTGGTACTGTAGTCCAAGAGACTCCCAAAATAAAACAGGCTATTGCCACAGCCCTTGATTGCCTCCAAGAACTTGAAGGTAAGACCCTACTGCTGAAGACAGGAAATACTTTGGACACAGGACTTGAAGCAATCAAGCTGGAACAGACCTGGAAGTCTCCTCCCTCAAGACTAGCTCTCATAGTATCAGAAGATACTATACAAGTTGCTAAGGGGAAAAAAAAATCAATGTTCCAACCCAGCTACAAAGCCTAATAAACACAACAATGACTAGCACAGTAACCCATTTCTTTTTTTTTTTTCTTTTTCTTTTTTGTTGTCTTTTTAAGACAGGGTTTCTCTGTAGCCCTAGCTGGCCTGGAACTCACTATGTAGACCAGTGTGGCCTTGAATTCACAGAGATCTGCCTGCCTGAGTGATGGGATTAAAGGTGTGCATCACCACACTCAGTAAACTATTTCTATCAGTACAGTAGCGGCACTTTTATCTTGAGGGTAATCAATAGTTATCTAACTGGCCTGCTCAGTGGGGGAAACTCACATGTGGTACTGTAAACATAGCCAAATACATATGGCTGGAGAGGTGATAGGGCCTAGAGAAAAACCTACATCTATGTCTGTCACAACCCCAGACAAATGAAACTTCTTACTCTATGCTAAATGTGCGTCCTTATATTTACAGAAAAGTATACCTCTCACTATTCATCAAAGAAGCTAGTTTTTGCAACAGATGGAGACTATTACAGACTTCCATAATTGGTCAAACACACAGAATAAGTGTCTGTGAGATGCCCACTTCTAAGTGACACATCTACAATGCAACCTCTATACCTAAGGCTCAGGGAACACAGAAGAACAGGGAGCATAGAAAATACTAATGCCCGTTCAGCATGGAAGAAGCCAGAGCTGTCTGCATCCCAATTCCCTATTGGTAATTTGGGTAACCCCTTCAGAGGATGGTGTGGTAAGAATAGGAGGTAGGAATTGGCTAGGTAGTTAGGGTAAAAAGACCCCAAAGAAATGTCACCAGTTTCTTGGCTAAAAGTCAAAATGTCCTTGGCCTGTTAGCAACATACTCTGTTCCAAGGCCAAAAATGTCAAAAGTATTTGAGCGCTTGTAACTAACCCTTAAAAGATTTTAGGGTTACCGCTTCAGAGCGGGGAATGTTGGAGGGGAGGGATGGGCATGGATTTGATCAAAGCAGCTTATGTGCATGTATGAAATTCTCAATAGAGTTTTTGTAAAAACAAAAAGAAAGAAAGCAAGAAAAAGAAAACACTAATGCATCACTCAGTTCTCACCAGTGAAACTTCCTCACGTAACAGATGGTGATTAACATAGAAATTCACAGCAGGACAAAATGTAGAGAATAAGACACTGCAGAGTACATGTCCCTGGATAGGACTGCTGTATTAAACCTCTGCCACTCAGGGCTTGGGGACAATTGCAGAAGAGGAGGAGGAAAGACTATAAAGCCAGGGAAGGTGGATGACTACAAGAAAACAGTTTTCCAAGTGGCTGAGAACTTGCTCATATGCATAAGACCTATGCAAACTCAAACCAGACAAAAACCCACCCCAGAACTGGGGAAGTGGGGAAGAAGCCCCAACCATAACTGAGGAATATTTGCAACTGATCACTGCTGGGTGAGGGAGAGTTGGTCTTCTTTAGGGGAGTGACACTAGATAGACTGACTAAGTGACATTTGGGGACACAAACTGGAGTCAATAAGCCTTAGCAAACATAACAGAATGCAGCAAATGTCTGGCAAGGATGCTGATGGATGGGGCAGATAGGGGGAGGGGTCTAAATATGATCAAGATGTATTATATAATATGCACATGATCTCAATTTTTCATTTTTATGTGTATAAGTGTTATGCCTGCAAGTATGTAAGTGTACCTGTGTCATGGAATGCCCATGGAGGTCCGAAGAGGGGTCAGAACCCCTGAGACTGGAGTTATGATGGATGTTATGGGTGCTGGGATTCAAACCCGGATCTTCTGAAAGAGCAGCCAGTGCTCTTAACCACTAAGCCATCTGTCCTAGTTTGTTCTTCATTGTTGTGACAAAACACTCTGACCACTACCAACTTGGGGAGGAAAGGGTTTATTCATCTTACATCTCCCGGGTCACAGTTCATCAGGGAGCCCAAGATAGGAACTCAGGGCAAGAACCTGGAGGCAGGAGCTGGAGAACAGGCCATGGAGGAATGTTGCTTACTGGCTTGCTTCCCTGGCCCCTCCTCAGCTTGCTTTCTTATCCAACACAGGCCCACCTGCCCAGGGGTGGCACTACCCACAGTGGGCTGGGCCTTCCCACATCACTCATCAAGAAGATGCCTCTCAGACATGGCCACGGGCCAGTCCAATGGAGGCAATTCCCCAATTGAGGCTCCCTCAACCCAGGTGTGTCAAGTTGACACTAAAGCTATCCAACACACCATCTCTCCAGGTACATAAAAAATTTTAAAGAAGAAAATGTGGTACATACAATGCAATTTTAGTCAGCCATAAAGCAGAATGAAATCATGGCGTCACAGGGAAATGAATGGAACTGAGGATCTTAACATTACATGAAGTAAACCAGACTCAGAAAGAAAAATATGTATTTTCTCTTGTATACAGGCCCAGATTGATATATTTGTGTGTGTCCCTCTGTGTGTGTGCCTGTATAAACATGAAAGTAGAAAGACCACCATGAAAGGGAAAAGATCTTAAGTAAGGGAAGAGGTCAGTAAAAGAAACAGTAACAGAACAAATGTGACATAAAAGCAGAAAGGGAAGTCCTGGTGTGGAGAGAGGAAACCGGCAAGAGGGGCAGGACACACAAACGGGACTGCGTAAGAACAAGGTAGAACGATGTGCATGCGTGGAAATGTCATAATGAAGCCCATTACTTTGTATGCTGACGTAAAATTAATTTAAAAATAGGTAAGAGCTACACTGTGCTGGATATGCACATCTATACTGTCAGTGCTCAGAAGGCTGAAAGAGGAAGACTGCAAATTGGATGACAGCCAAGCCTACTGAGACCATACCTCAGTAAAAACTTTGACATATAAAAACATACTAAAAATAAAAATATATACATAAAGCCTACTGAGACCATACCTCAATAAAATCTTTAACATATAAAAACATACTAAAAATAAAAATACATACATAAAGCTCCAAGAGGCCAGCCCTTCAGTTATCTGAGGGTGACTCCAGCCTGTATTTTTCAGAACTGCTATTGCAGAACTCTGAGTATGCTTTTTGCAACTAGAATGCCTTACTACTCAGGACAATGGGTCAAAATCACGAGAGCCATCACATACGCAGTGCAGGAAGGGTCCAAGGTCTCTCCGGATATATGAAAATGGATGTATGTGGATTTTTTTACACAACTGCTAATTATGATAAAACAACCAACCCCTCCCCCAGCCTCCATTATTGATGGTTTTAAAAAAAAGATGAGATTTTTAGAGGAAATAAGTTAGGAACAGGGAAGAGGAGACTATGGTCAAAATATAAGATATACATGGGGTGGGGCTGGAGAGATGGCTCAACAGTTAAGAACACTGGTTGTTCTTGCAGAAGACCCGGGTTCTAATCCCAGAATCCACATGGCAGCTAACAACTGTCCATAACTCCAGTCCCAGGGGATCCAACAGCTTCTTCTGAACTCCATGGGCATTGCACAACATAGGTGCACTTACCTACATGCAGGCAATGTACCCATACACATAAAACAAAAATAATAAATAATTAATTTTAAAAAGATACACATGTATGGAAATGTCAGAATTAAACCCATTGTTTTATACAGTGACTATATGCTACTAAAATATGGAAAATAAAAAAGAGGTAAGTTGCCTCAACTCCATGTCATCTGAATAGGAAACAAATATACAACTTCTTAATTTTTTTATTTCATGTATATGTGTTTGCCTATATGTATGTATATGTACCACATGTGTGCCTGGAACCTGTGGAGGCCAGAAGAGGGTATCAGAGCCTCTGGAATTGGACGGTTGCTGGCCAGCATATGGATCTAGGAACCAAACACAGGTAGGTCATCTATAAGAGCAGCAAGTGCTCTTAACTGCTGAGCCATCTCTCCAGTTCCCAAACACACAACTTTAGAAATAGGATAACGTATTCTCTGAATGCCTTAGTCACTAGTCTGTAGAAAACATTTTAGGACTGGATCAGCTTAGAAGTAGAGATACTTGTGGAGGTCTCTCCCATTCTAAATTTTTTCTTTTGGATACTTACTACACATGAGTATTTT